TATATATATATATATATATATATATATATATATATATATATATATATACATATACATATATATATATATATAATATTATAATGGGAGCTTGTAAATCTTTAATCAAAACTAATCAGAGAGAATGTAATGATTATGGTTTAAATTATATCTTTTATTTATATTGAAAAACTAACATTTTTAAATATATACATTTGTACTTTTTTTTCATCTAAATCTAAAAAAAAAACAACTATTTAATTTAAATTTCAACGATTGTTGAGTGGATGATTTGCATTTGGGACTCCATTGGCAACTAAAACTTGAACAAAAAAAAAAACAAAAAATTAAAAAAAAAAAAAAAAACAATATACAAAACATCCATATCGACCATCGGTTGACTAATCGGCATAATAACTTTGGGGCGCATAGAGCGAGACCAGGCCATAAGATTATAACACATCAATTAAGCCAGACAGCTCATCATCATCAACAGCAAAGTCAACATCATTATGATTATCAGCATCATCTTAATAAATATCAAAATGAACTCTCATCATACTCGCATTCAAATTTTCTTGGCCAAAATTCTGTCTCTGTTGCTGGTGCTTGTAGTCTATCAAGAATTAAAGCTTCTGCGCACCTTTTAAGCACCAGCACTAACACCAACAACACCAACAGCAACAGCAGTAAAAGCAAAAAAATCAGCAACAGTTGCTCGAACATTGACCGATCATTTAAAAAGGTAAACTCGCATAAAAGTAATAATAATCAATCGTTGCTATCGTCATCTAGTGGCATTTCGCAAGAGACTCTCAATCAAAGTGTTGGTGGATCATCGCGTGCAAATTCTCTACCACGTCCGCTTTCGCCATCCCCATCAATTGCCAGTGATAAGCATGACCATGGTGATCCGCATGTAAGTTCCATTCCCAACATACAACCATTATGCAATTATTCATTGATCAGATCGTGTTCGGAGCCTAATATTATTTAATACTTTTTACAGGAAAAGCACGAGCGCGAGGAAGAGGAACGTAAGCGACGCATTCAACTGTATGTGTTTATATCCAGATGCATATCATACCCGTTTAATGCAAAACAACCCACGGATATGACGAAAAGGCAACCGAAAATAACCAAACAGCAATTAGAAATAATCACACAAAGATTTCAGGTAACTATAAATGTATTTATTTATATAAATAATTGATTTATATGTGTGATAATGCAAAATCTAAATTTGTACTTAAATTTGTAGTCTAGAAACCAAACCATTAAGATCTGGGCTTAAATGGGTTCAGGGTATAATAATTTGAAAACATTAATAACATGTAAGAAAACTATAGTCGATAGTGCTCGACAAAATACTACCCTGAATTAAACTAATATAAGTGCACATTTAGTATGGTTAAAATTTCAATTTGTCTGTATTTAAAAATATAAGACAAATATAGAACTCATTTAATTAACTATATAAAAATTAAAAAAATAGACAAATATAGAACTCATTTAATTAAATATATAAAAATTTGTAAAGAATTAACAAAATAAACATCAATTCCGCGCCCTGGGTTCAGAGTCGAGACTCTTGATCAAGCGCCACAGCGCCAGTTCACACTTCGGAATTATGATGGCAAAACTGAAATATGTATATTCACTGATGCAGCGCCATCTAGCAAATCTAAAGTAAACTAACTGTTACGAGCTCTAGCACAACAGCAATGTTTTTCTAAGAATATGCTAGAATAAGTTTGAATTTTTGTATGCACACATATAGAAAAAGTGTTGTAGCTGCTGAACGTGCGTTTGTTAACTGGCAAAACATTTTATTATTTTTTAACGTCGATTGACTTAGTGGAATGAAATAAACCTTCAGCATAAATTCTAAATATTCTATTGAATATTTGACATATTTAAAAAAATGCCAAATCATTCACAATTCGCTCGTTGGACTTGGGAGGCCGACATGCATATATATATACCATATTTGAGGTCTCTAGCATCAATAGTGCCTAAAATATAGCAGAATTTGAAAAATCACTATATTCTTCAGGTTCGATTCGCCACGCTCCTAGTAGGAGTAGATATATCCACTCATCTTTAAAGTCAAGAGTACTAGAAGCTATCCATTAGCTAGTATCCATGGATCAGAAATCATTAGTTGAAGAGCTAGGAAGCTGAAATTTTGAATGGAGATCCGCATCGACCACCCAAAACCACGTTTTATGGCGGATATATCTACGCCCATTAGGAGCTTGGTAAATCAGATAAAACTGTATCTCCTAGTGTTTGAAAGCTAGAACGTTAAAATTTTGCACGTGAGCTAATGTCGTGATTTTATAAACATTGATGGAAAAAATTATATGTTTACGCCCACCAGGAAGAAGGAGAGACCTCAAATTTGATATATATACTCGGGCTGACCTCCCAAGACCAAAAAGTTTGGGTGAATATATATCTGCCCACAGGGGGCGTGGCAACCCGTAAAAGTTGCTGGATCATACGTCTAGAAATCCTCAACGCTGATACTAATTTTTTACTAAAAATGTTTTTTTTTTTTTTTTTCAAAATTGAGCAAAAAGGAGCACAAACGGTTAATAGTCTCATTAATTAAGGGTTCAGACAACACGTTTGCATTTAAACTTCATCACTACTTTTCTCTTTTTGTAAGTTATACTCCAACAAACATGAACAATTTTTTTATTTCTTAGCTAAAATACACGGCAACAAAACTTTGAAGAATTAGACAATGAAACAACAAATGTGTCAAAAAATTGGAATTGACAATTTATAGTACACTAGGGAAAAAATTATTTAAAACTATGTTGTTCAGGTTGGGATACATTCTGATTAATTTATTAATCGGAATTTCATTTAAGCACTGTTAACGACATTCTTCGTTTTTCGGTCAGGTAAAAATAATGCGGATGCCAACACATGAGCATGCCACGTACAATTGACCATGACAAAAAAAAACACACATTTCTAGATTGAGGCCTCAAACAGTCAAGGATTGGCCTGTGATTTGTCGATAAACATGGCGAAGGCAAGACGAATCGGGAATCGAATTCGTTCAAACTCAATGGGCATATCTGTTGGGATCACCGGAAACCTTGGAATAAGAACTTACTCGTATTTAAATTTTCCTTTGAGTATCGACGCGTGAATCACATTGATCATCACTTTTCTTATCACCAAACGGTTTAAATTTCTAAGCATGATAGCTACCGAGCCAACCTTCAGCTGTGAATTGTGCGGTGGTAAACAAGCCACATCCAAGGAGTTCAAAAATTCAGTTTGATAATTAGTGGCTTCTTCTTCGTTTGTTACGCAGTCGATAGATTTGAATGAATACAGAGTGCCAACGATTTTATTTTGAATTATATAATTAAGGTCATCTACACCTTTATTTTTAGCCGCCATAATTGCTCGCTCACTTAACCGTTTAGTATTTTTGTGGTTAGCAATGATATACGGAAATACTTTGTTGATAAGCTTATCTTTTGATGACACGGAATTGCAGGAGGAAATGAAATCAAACGCTCGGTTCGTCAAGAGGAATACGGCCATTACCGATATTCAGCAATCATCAGCAGATAGATCGTTCAACAATGCAACTCTTATATTTACAGATAGTTGAAGTTTGCTTACATATCGCCACAGATTTGATGCTTTGAGGCAAGCGTTTAGATCTTGGAATTACTGGTAGTGTTTGTCGGAAATCGGCAGATAATAAAATCATTGAACCACCAAAACATCTCGAGTCATTGCACAGATTTTTTAATATTTGGTGTAGTGCTTCCAAAGTGCGTTTGTGCGCCATTGTTCAATAATTTCCGCCCCAAATGAAGTGATTTGGAAACAGGCATTTCGCCATAAAGCAGGGAACACAATGGCTCTGGTGGCAGGACCACTAAGGCAGCACAAACCTTTCGTTTCACCAGCAAACATCAAACTAAACAATGCGAGGTGTAGTCAATGGTGCAATCATATCGAAACGTTGCTCGATTCAAATCAATACTTGAACCATTTCTTATTGTCGTTTCTTGGGCTGTCTCTCTTTGAAAATCACGAATTAAGGCGTTTCCTTGCTCCATACTAACGCGGCGCTCTTCTCGGGCGATTTCTCGGTCTTCGTCAGATGATTGACACGCGATGTTTCGTTGCCTAATTGCATTACGGGTCCGCTGCGAAAGATTAGATCTTCTAGGACGCGGCATTTTTATTAATAGTAATACTGAATATGCACTTGCACAAAACCATATAAAACAACCGAGACAACCTATGAAAAGACATTTACACTTTTGTTGAAGTGTAGAAAAAATCTTTAACTTAATAAATAACACAAATTAATTCCTAAGACAAACAAATATAACAGCACCTACCTGAACTTTCGAGATATTTTGCTTCTGAACGCACACGTAATATTTTTCAATCTTTTTTTAATAAATACACATAATAGTTTATTCATTCATGTATTTATCAAATGTGGATGAATAATTGTTTAACACAAGTGCAGGAACGAAAACTGTCACTTTCATTACCCTACCTTGCAAATTCTCAATGAAAATTGACAGCTCCGAAATTAAAGAACCCTTAGGGATAATAACGCGTTTTTCAAGTATTCTTCAACTTTTCAGTATATCTATAATATGCTCTCCTAATCGGCGCGGAGAGAAATCCAACAAATCAAAAACCATGAAAATTGATCAAGCTGATCTCGAGTTATAAGTGTTGTAACACTTAACTCGACTTTGTTTTAGATATATAGATATTATTGGTAAAGTTTTCCATTTTTTCAAGTTTTAAGTTTTCTTTTTATTTACCGCAGCCTTAAACTTGAAAGTTGCACAAATTTTCCTGCGCATTTCTTTGCACACAGAGCAACTGTTGCTTTCACCCCTACGTTATATCACTAACCATATGGTTAGTGGTTATATAATAGGAACAGTCCATACAATTTTTGAAAAATACGCTTTACTTTAGTTAAAATTATCATAAATGAAAAAGAAAAAATCAAAAAAATGTATGCCCAAATTTCGCTTTTGATACCTTGAACCCATTAAAAATGGGAAATCAGGGTATAATGTTTTTGTTGAAATATATGTAACCCACAGAAGGATGCGTGGCAGATCCCACAAAGTATATATATTCTTGTTCAGGACGACGAGTGTGGGCAATATTATGAAAATTTATTTGTTGAATAATTTCTTTCGTAGATACACAATCTTAATGAAACTTCCAGAACGTAATCATAATGTTTAAGTGTGTGTACATTGTAAAGTACAAGTCTCTAGTACTTGTGATAGCACAACAAGCCAAATTGTAAATTCTTTTTTTTTCAATCGGGCTCTGTTTCCATGGCTAATGAGCAGTGCCGCCAAAATTGTTAAAGCTACAATTGCTTGTTTTTGGAAGTAAAATTGCCAAAAATTGCTCAAATTTTTTTTAAAAATAGTCAAAAAATTGCCAAGCCTCCTTTTTCAATTTTGTAATAAATTGAGATTTATAAAAATAAAAATCTAAATTTAAAAGCTTTTAAATTAATAAAGAACATGACAACTTAACTTACATTTAACTACAGAATACTTAAGATACTATCTAGTTCTTCAGCTTCTTCACATACATCGGTTTCTACTTATTAATTATGGCAAATTTTTAATTTGAATTAATACATGATCAATGTTTTTACATTCAAAATATTTCAAAACATTTAAAAATGGTTTGCCTTTATAGGGGCTCAAAATATTTTGAGGAGAAAATTAGTTGATTTTCTCCATTACTTCAAAATTAAAAGGTAATCTTAAATAAAATGAAAAATTAATATACATATGCATGCGAACCCAAATCAACAGTGTTACCTTTCGAAAAGTTGCATGTTAATCTTATTTCCCGATCGCGAGAGTTCAGCTCTAGCTCTTCCAATTTTTTCGCAAATGCAAGCCCCGTCGCACTTATATGTTTTTTGTGGCAGCCTAGTGGCGCACATCATAAAAATAATAAGTTTTTGGCAAAACAGCAGACAATTTAAGCTTTAGCGCACAAATGATACTCGATCACTTTTAATGCATCTGTGAACTACTTATTGTTCATAACCATTGAACTATTGTTGCTATGATTTTAGGAAGATGTTATTGTGAAATCACAAAATTGCTAAAAGTTGCATAAATTTTTTTGAAAATAGCTATATTTGTGGCTGATAGCAATTAAAACAAAAAAATGCAAACTCAAATTTAAAATTGCTAAATCTAGCGACTTAATTGCTAATATGGCAGCACTGGTCGGACTACGAAATTATACGAAAGCACAATCATTTGGCTTCATGCGCTTGACCGAGATGGAAAAGATCCCTCTATGTCCAATTTTTTTCTTGCTCTCTCTCTCTCTCTCTCTCTGCTCTCTGCTCTCTCAAATATATGTGTATGTATATGTACATACAGTGTTGCCAGGTTTTGAGACAAAAAAATAGTGTAATTGCCTCTAAAAAATAGCTGCAAATAATTAAAAATTTTTTAAAATTTTTCAAAATAGATGAATAAACTTGACTTTGATGGTGTTTAGTTTTGTATTCATCATTATTCTTAGATATCCAGACTCAGCATATGTTTCAACCCTTAAATCTATTGTATCTATTACTGAGTGTGTAAGGCCACTAACCAGAGAACACATAGACTAGACAACTAGTGGAAAGCTTTTTGCACGCTT